TGTAAAATGTATAATATCTTGTAAATAATAAAATCTAAAATAATACAATGGATGTTTGGCATATTATCTCCTAAGTCATTGATATTTTTCAGAAAAGTTTAAAACTAAATTGAAAATTACAATATAATATTAGAATTTAAAATGCACTGATCGTGAAATAGAATGTGAACGAAGTTTTCTTTGTGTTTTTATCTGTATTTGTATCTGTACCTGAATCTGTATCTGTATCTGTTTCTGTCTCTGTATCTGTATCTGTATCTGTATCTGTCATGCACTTCACATGACTGATTGGATGTGGTTGAAGGTTAAAAATTTATTCATCCTTTATTTGATTTTTTCCTTCTTCTTTTCCTTCATTCCTTTCCCATTTCACTCTCTTATTTTTTACTTTAAGTCTTTTCTTTTTTCTATTTTGTTATTCATGCCTGATTTTCTTTCCTTTTCTCCTCTTCTTTTATATTTCTTCTTTTTTCTATTCTCTTTATTTCTTCTCTTAATATGTTTCTTTTTCTTTTTTTCTGCTCTTATAATCTTTAACTCTATTCTTCTTCAACTCTTCAACTCTTCTTCTCTTTTTCTCTTCTCTTCTCTTCTTCACTTCTTCTCTTATTTTCTTCTTTTCTTCTTTTCTTTTTCTTCTATTCTTTTCTTCTTCTATTCTTTTCTTCTTCTATTCTTTTCTTCTTCTATTCTTTTCTTCTTCTATTCTTTTCTTCTTCTATTCTCTTCCCTTCTTCTCTTCTTCTCTACTTCTCTTCTTTATTCTTCTTCTTTTCTTCTCTTCTTCTCTTCTTGTATATTTCTCTTCTTTATTCTTCTTCTCTTTACTTTTTTTTTCTCATTTACTCTTCTATTCTTCTAGCTATCATAATTTTAATTAACATTATTTTGACGTCATTTAAGAGTAAAACTACATTAATGAAGCATCATTTAAATGAAATACAATTTTGACGTCATTTAAATGTTAAGTCACATTATTTGAACGTCATTGTGATGTTAAGTAACATTATTTGAAGGTCATTGAGATGTTAGGTATCATAAATATGGATCTCATTTTGGGTATTGTAATGTCAAATAATGTCATTTTGATGACTCAAAACATTCAACATGACATCAAACAAACATCAAATTGACATAATTTTAGGATATTTGACGTCAATTTAATGTCTTAAAATGACGTCCTATTGACATTAAAGTAGGTACGTTTTTACATCAATTTGATGTCTTTTTGTGATGTCAAACTAAACTCTAAAAAGATGTCAATTTGATGTTAATTTAATGTCCTTTGTCTTGCTGGGAATCGTCTTTGTTATGAATTAGCATTGTAATACCTAGTTTAAAAAGCCAATAATATTATTATGTCTGCTAGAGTTTATTTCATGAAAAGGGTAAAAGCATAGAGAATAGAATATATAATAGAGGGGAATTTACTAGAAAAAAGTGTAAAACGGGCATTTTGTTGTACTGTTTCCATACTGCAGGTGTACTTCACATATTTATGTTATATAACCTTTTGGGCCCTGGAATATCATTTTATAGAAAATCTAAAATTATTGAATTAGTGAAGACGGACAAGTTTACTCTGTTTGTATACTGCAATTTTCTTGTTTTACTAAGCACAACGAGTACAACCGTATGCAGTCAAAACATAAACAAACAAAATGTGAACATAGCAGACGAAACTCTTACAGATTACAGCTTTCTCAGCAGGTATCACTTTCCTAAATCAAAGAATTATTTAAAAAGACGATATCGAATTCGTCACTGAATTCCCATGTTTATTGGGACTCTTGGGACACCCTGTACCTAATTTGACATATATATTACAAATACGCTACTGCATTAAAAATCGATTTTTTATCAATGTTACTTTGTTAAAGTTGATTGATTAAGATTATCTGCGCGAAGCGCCAATTTTTTAAAACATTTTTCCTTAATTCATTGACATGGAGAGAATGGAGATCAATTGTTACTAAACGGGGATGTTTGTGTCCCCAAGATTCTAGGGGGGTAATTACCCTAAGGATTCTAGGGGGGGTAAGTAACCCCAATAACCCCCCTTTTTTACGCCACTGTTGGGACGACACTCTGTATCTCTATTATTTCCGGTGCTATCTCATTTATACTACTGCCGTTTGAACTATTGTTCATTTGAACTATTGTTCATTTCAACTACTGCACGTGGGACCACGTGAGTAGTTGAAATGAACAATTGTTCAAACGAGTAAATATATTGCTCATTTGAACTATTTTTTAGTTCTTTAAACTATTTTCATTTGAACTATTAAAATATTATTAATGAAATAAACAAAAAATAGTTCAAATGAACATAAAAATAGTTCAAATGAAAAAAAAATAGTTCAAATGGACAAAAAAATAGTTCAAATGAGCAAAAAAATAGTTCAAATGAACAAAAAAATNGTGGGGGCAAGAAATCTTGCCCCCCCCCTCGCTAAATCTTATATATTGTATTGGTCACTGAAACTGTAATTTTGGACACAAATATCACATAAAACTATCTCCACTCTATCCACATGGTTGCCAATGGTACGTGTTGGTGGAGGTGGATTGTATTGTATGCAGCTGTGGATCAGCTGAAGGAGTTGAAGTGAATAGATGCCCGCAGGTCCCGCAGGTCCCGCAGGTCCGTGGGAGGAGACAGTCAAAGGGGCCGGGCAATATCACGTTGAGAGTAAGAGTAAATCACATTTGAACTATTTAAGTGTTTTTTAACTAATATTTTATTTGAAATTTAACTATTTTTTTCTCATTTAAACTATTTCATTTGTACTATTTTTTTTCATTTGAACTATAATGTTTTTGTTCATTTAAACTATTTTTTGTCCTTTTGAACTATTATTTTGTTCATTTTAACAATTTTTTTTGTTCATTTGAACTATTTTCATGTTTATTTGAACTATTTTTTTTTATTTGAAGTATTTTTTTTCATTTGAACTATTTCATTTGAACTATTTTCATGTTCATTTGAACTATTTTTATGTTCATTTGAACTATTTTTTTTTCATTTGAACTATTTTTTTTTCATTTGAACTATTTTTTTTCATTTGAACTATTTTTATGTTCATTTGAACTATTTTTATGTTCATTCTGTGTAATGTTTCTAATTAATTGTCATGAATATAACTTTATGGAGAAAATTTAAAAACTGAATTGGGGTAGAAAAATAGTTCAAATGAGCAAGAAATGCGTTGATTTAAACTCCAGGATATGACGTCATGTCAGTAGTTCAACTGAACAATAGTTCAAACGAACAATAGTTCAAACGTACCATAGTTCAAACGGCAGTAGTTCAAATGCGGATCCACCTAATTTCCAATCTTCAAAGAATGAAGTTTATAACGACGACATTTATTTTCTTCTTTTATCTTCATCTCCTTGTTTACATCCATAATCAGCTGATCGGGATTATTCAATAGGACTTGCGAAGAAAGTTTTAAGCCCATTATTTCGATCCAATTCGACTCAAATGATCAGCTTTTTCAGATTTTCACCGAAAGTAAGAACGCATTTAAGTATTAAGGTTATTTTACTTTCCATTAGGTTTCTAAATTGTTTAATTATGATGATTATAATCGTTATATATGTTTAAATATACTGTAGTATATTATAAAACCGGCAATATGGCTGAAATATAAGATTACATATTTATGATCTGGATATTTATAATCTTTTCCTTCTCCACCTCTCTTTGCTTTCATTTAGTTTTAATCCTTTTGTTTTATTTTAATTAAATATATGTATTTATCTCTGAAAAGGGCCTCTTATTCAAACAACCAGCAATGGTTACAGAGGTCTTGGATAAATTAAAAACTGTAATTTATATAATTAATTTTTTTGTCAAATAAGTATATCTATCCTAGTGGTGTGGTTGATGTAACTATTCAGGGGATAATGATTTATATTGAATTAATGACATTTTTCAGATTCAGAATGGCTGAGCCGGATTTCTTATTTCTGAACCAATCAGTTGATGAACTAAATGAAGCAAGATCGGCAGTCCAGCTACTGATCATGAATCATACAATTCCAGGGAGAGAAACTGAGACGGGAGTAGTGGAGAGAAAACTTATTCTGAAAGCTTTGAAGGATGCAAATGATATTAGAATAAAGTTTGAAGATTCTTTAAGGGTTTTCAAAGTTCTCCCTGTGGCTGATGGTGAACCTGCTGATTTAAAGAAAAAGGCTCTGGATGATGGAATGGCGGGTATCAAGCTGATATCCAACATGCAGAGGTATCTTAATCTTCATTTACAACAATCTGATTCCGACAAAGATAGCATCAAGGCCAAGGAATCAAAGAATATTGCAGATAGGAGTAAATATGAAAAAACTCAATCCTTAGAAAATTCCCGTAAGCGAAGTAGATTAGACAGTGACGGTGGTTTGGAGAATTCTAAGAAACACAGCGATATGGATGGATACAACAGCGATGTATCTAACTGCAGCAGTGATATATCAAGCTATCACAGCGATATGGACAGCGACAGTGATATGGAGGATTACAACAGTGGCGATGGTTCAATCAACGGTTTGTATTTTCATTAAATACTAGCTGATGTGCCCATGGAGTTTTAAAAATTCTTTAGAAAAAATGAAATTGTAAGTTTTTTTAGCCAAGTTGTCACCCCAAGGGTTCCCTCAAAAAATGTCAGCCAATTTGGTCCAGCTGTTTGGCGAGCTATAGCTAGCATAAATATATATATATATATATGAAAACCCAGCTTTGCCTATATAAGTCAGCCTACTCAAGGGATTAAGTAGTTATGCCGGGACATTTAAAAAACAGAATTTACTTCACATCTTCAGAGTTTTATTTCCTGCCAACCATTAACTTTCCATGTACATAGAGATATATATTTCTTAATTGTTTTATATCCCACTTCATATTCAAATTCTGAATATAAAAGATAAAGTGAGGAACAAATTTGTATATCAAGGGGGGGGGGGGTATTTATTTTATATTCCTCCCATTGAAACCAGTTAACAAACCAGTTATTGTAGGGAGTCATCTATTGTTTTGGTCGTTTCTTCACTTAAACAAAAACATGATATTGGTTCTTTGCTCTCAAATCGTAAAAATTTCTTTTTTCAATGAAGTCATTGAATGTTTTAATTTGTGAATTTATTTAGAGAATTTATCTGAAAACGTTAAGAATGTAAAAGATACCTCATCTTCATACATGGGATCTGCAGTTAGATCTGGTAAGCTGATTATTATGCACGATTTTTCATATTGTAGAAAAATCATTTCCATATCCCCCCTTCAAAAATCTATTTTTTCGCCAAATAATATGATTTAAGGAGGATAAATAAAAAAGTGTGAAAAATCAACAAATAAATTAGGGAGAAATCAAAAATTGTTAAAAATCAAAAAAAATACATCTGGAACGATTCAATTTAAGTACTTCTTAAAATTAAATAATTGGAAATATTTTCTTTATATGATTTTATTTCATCATAAATCCTTTAAATCTTTTACGAACACTCTCTTTAACAAATTATATATTTTATAATATTATATTTCAGGTGGTTTCGCAACTCTCCGCAACCAAAATAGAAGAATAAATTCCCGGATACACGGTGGAGATAACAAGATGGATCTTTCTGAATTTAAATCTGAATTATTTAAAGGTATTAAAGCCGAACGTGTAGAAGAAGCTAATTCCTCGTCCATTATTTATCCCTGTCGATATATCCCCTGTGAGTTTGTCGCGAACACGGAGAGAGATCTGACCAATCACGAAGATAGATTTCACGTTATTCGATTTAATTGTGACAAATGTGAATTTTCCACACCTTCAGAAGCAACGCTGAAAAGACACTGCGAAACTAGACACGAAGGGGCAAGATATTCTTGTGATTTATGTGAGTATGTCACAACAACAGATGATGGTTTAAAGACGCACTTTGAAATGGAACATCAAGGCTCAGGATTTTTTTGCGATAAATGTGTATACGTTTCTATAACAACTAAGAATCTGAAACTTCATATTGCTGCTAAACATGATAGAGTAAGATATCCTTGTGACAAATGTGACTTTGTTACATCTACTGCAAACTATCTAAAGAAGCATATTGAGATTGAACATGAAGAGCTGAGTTATCCCTTAAACGATTGTTCTCAACCTGTCACTAATCGAGCTGTTGAAATTGACCCTGTCAATGGGAAATTTCTCTGTGATAAATGTGAGCAGTCCTATGTCTGTTTAAGTAGTTTGAGGAAACACAAGAAGAACAAACATGAAGGACTAAGGGTGAACTATCCCTGTAATAAATGTGACTTCATTGCAACCTCAGCAACTCAATTGAAATATCATACTCAAAGTAAGCATGAAGGCGTGAGATATCCATGTACTCAATGTAATTATGTCGGAGTTACTGCAACAAATCTGAGGAAACACGTCGAGTGTAAACACGACGGGGTACGATACCTATGTAAGCATTGCACATACTCTGCTACGACAGCAGTTAACCTTAAAGCACATATAGAAAACAAGCACGACGGTGTTAGACATCCCTGTAGATTTTGTGAATATGTTGCATCCACTGCAGGAAATCTGACAACACACGTCAAGAGTTTGCACCGGGGTGTAACATATTCCTGTAATTTTTGTGATTTTAAATCCAACTGGAAAGCTTGTTTGAAAAATCACATGAAATCGATCCATGCTGGAGAGGAGTCCTTTAAAGTAGAGGAGCTCTGAACATTAACTCATCTCCGACAATTTTCTTCTAGTATTGTCTTTTCGTGCTTGCCATCTTTTATCGCTATTTGACTGAAAATTCTCTTGTTATATTTTTTTTATATTTTAGGTAAAACATTAGTTTTTGTTGTTTTTGTTGTTGTTGTAAATACCTAAATGTCTTGTTTTATTATACAGATTTTGCAAATTTGCTATTTTTGGCAGATTATTAAAGTGGAGCTTAAGGGCTTTTCAAATATGTATCATATGTTATGGATTTGTATCACAATAAGGAAATAGAGCCCCCCCCCCCCTAAGTCTATTTTGGGTAAACCAGACGTCAGTCGAAATAGGATTAAAGATAAATAAAAATTAGTTAAGAAATATGGTTCTTCGGAGTTCTATTATTGCCTCATTGACAATGTAATACAATGCATGAAGTAAACATGTAATTTTTCCACCTAATAATTAGTTCAGGATTAGATGGGAAATTAGTTCCAAAACTAACACTTGGCCCATTTCTAACACTGAGCGTTAGAAATGGGCCAAATCTGCAAAGTTATATTTTTCAAGCGTATCCAAGCCGAGTTGAACAAAACTACACCACACATTTATAAGAAATGGCTAAAACCATTTATTCAAACGACAAATGTCAACTTTAAGCTAATAATAAGGTATGAGCATTGAGCATTAGTTTTGATGATTCTTGTTTTTATTTTCGCACAAATCCTTATTTTGAAACAATTACCGCTTTCAGCTCATGTCGCGTTTTTGAAACATATCCTGGTTTTGAGACAATACTCGAATCAATGTCAACTTTCAAGTATTTACGCACGTACGTAACAAAACACGATTTTTTGATAAAGTAAAATATAAACAAAATAGAAAATTAAAACAAACTGTTCTTGTGTAATTAAAAAATCATTACAGCATTGAGAAATCAAAATATTAATTTTATTTGTTCTTTCAATGTTGATTTAACTAGAAATGCGGGAAATTGATTGTTTAAAATGTGGGAAACTCTTATTTAACAAATAAAATGTGAAAACTTAGATTCTAAATATAATTCTGAAGTCAATTTAGGCTTCGTAAGATAATTTTTGCTTTCAGTGATTTTGTTTGCAAGTTATGAAAATGAGTTTTGTTTGAATTGCGGATTATACTCAAAAACGAGAAAGTGGGGTTTGTCTCAAAAACGCGACAATGATTCAAATTCAGGATATGTTCGAAAATGGAGAACCTGACATTATCTTGAAAATGAAAACGGTCAAGGGTTTTAATATAAAAAGAACTTTTTATAAATTTGATTTAAGAAAATAGTTTAAAATACTGAATTGTTGTCCTTTTGATGCTTAATAAAATGTTGGTTAGTAGTTTTGATTATCGACTTTTACTCTGTATATGGTCTGGGATCCTAAAATCCCAGTCTTTCAATTTGTGCCCATTTATAGCACTCAGTGTTCGAAATGGGCCAAGTGTTAGTTTTTGAAGTAATGTCCCCTGGATTTATTATGTGATCAAATGAACCAACCAAATTTTTCTTTCCAATTGTAAATTAAGGAAAAATTGAATCTTTGCTTTTTCTTTAGAATATTCTTATGATCATATGTACAAAGATAGAACAGTATTTTACTTAGGATTCAAGTGTTAGAAAGATTAATTGATCTGTTATTGCAGAAAAAATGGCCGACGAGGAAAATGTTGAAAATGAGGGATTCACTTATAAAGAAGAAAATCCCCCATTTTTGTAGTTTGGAGGATACAAGTACTGGACATAATATGGAAGAAACAAATTTCTGGACAAAAAATGAAGAAACTGATAACAATGGAGAATATAAAAAGAAGATCTTAAAGAGGAATATGTAAAAATTGAGGCTTCAGAAATGTCTGGTAACTTTTTTTATTCATACAACTGTTTACCAAATGGTAAACACATTCTGCGCATGTTCATGTGGTTTTTATGCTGAAGTTTATGTTATTCATGGTCTTATCTATGTTTTCATGTTCATCCCCAAGGAGAGGAATCATCTTAAGTCCTACAGTTACCATTATGCGAGTAAACACTTAATTTACATCTAAGATTAGTATGTGTTTGCTATTTTAGGTTTTTATTTTTACAATGTTGTGTAATATTTCTCTATGCTTCTTTTTATCTTAATTTTTCCACTACTTGTCCAATTTTTTCTTTTATTTTAGTTGTTTATCACATTTTCTAAATGTCAATATTTTAACATTTTTTATGTTACACTGCACAATGGTAAGCGATTTTATCAATACAATGTTACGTTACGACTTTTTTATTTAAGTTTTGATTGTTAACAAGCTTTTTTCGAATTACACGTTTACAAGTAATCAAAAAGAATCTTTTTAAATTGAAGCTTCTCTTGGTTTCTATGTTTATAGGTATCCATGCTGTTTAAGAGGTTGATAAAAATCAAAATTGAAAACGGAAGTCGTCTTCATTTTATTGATATAATCGCCTATCACTGTTTTAAATGTTTAGATGCTGATGCCTACCTAGAATCTCTCAACTCCAGATCTAGGAAATCCATGAATACAAAGCAAAGAAGGACCTAACCCTGTTATCAATGCGAATTTACAGTAACTTCTAGAGGTTTTCTGAAAAGACATGTTGTGATTATCTATAAAACTGAAAGATTTTCTTGTGAAAAGTATAATTATACAGCAGCTGTTTAGGACCAAGTAAAAAATCATGTTCAAGTTAAACACGGATCAGTAACATTTTGCCTGGTACACTTCTGCCTAGTAATTATTCGCCTGTATAACTTTTTGCCTGTATAACATTTTGCCTGCATGACAGTTTGCCTGTATAACAGTTTGCCAGTATAACAGTTTGCCTGTGTAACAGTTTGCCTGCATAACAGTTTGCCTGCATAACAGTTTGCCTGTATAACAGTTTGCCAGTATAACAGTTTGTCTGTATAAGAGTTTGACTATATAACAGTTTGCCTGCATAACAGTTTGCCTGTATAACAGTTTGCCTGCATAACAGTTTGCCTGCATAACAGTTTGCCTGTATAACAGTTTGCCAGTATAACAGTTTGCCTGTATAAGAGTTTGACTATATAACAGATTGCCTGCATAACAGTTTGCCTGTAAAACAGTTTGCCTGAATAACAGTTTGCCTGCATAACATTTTGCATATATAATAGTTTGCCTATAAAGAATTTAATTGTATTTTACGCCTAAACCAGAGTTTCTTGAACCACTCACAAACTTTGAAACAGGAAACCCGCTAAACTGATTTGATAATTCAATTGTATTTTTTCTCTTGAAAATATGGCTGCACTTATCTAAGCTGGAGTATCTAAAAAAGGAAAGCCTTCCATTATTGATAAAAACAACTATTTATCTGTTGGAAATGGAGGCATAGATAGAGACAAACATCAATGGAAATGCTCTATAGAAGACTACAAAAAAAAACCAGAGATCTCTTGCAAGCCGTGGAACGGATCAAGTTTTTTTTAAGGATTTGAGACTACTCCAAGGCAGGAGTACATAAAACTAATTGGAAATGAGTTGAGCAGGGCAGCCAAGTAAATTTGTGTTTTCTATCATTCTATACAGACAAATATGATGTGCTTTTATGTTTTGAGAATATAATTTAAAAACCTTATCACAAATTTGATTCAGTCTCAGAGTTAAACAAAATGTTCTATAGGCGAAAAATAAACTCAAATGTTATAAAGGCAAAATTTTATACAGTCAAACTGTTATACAGGCAAAATGTTATACAGGCGAATGAGTACTAGGGAAAATGTGACTGACTGACTGACACGAGATGATAATTCCTTGCAACCAGTGTAAATATGTTGCAACTTCAGCAAGCAGTCTAAAAATACATTGCAAGAATATTTTCGAAGGAGTGTGATATCACAGTGATAAAAATGTGATGAACACACTTTTTAATAAAAGAACATATTGAAAGTGTACATGAAGGGTTAAGATATCCTTGTGCTAAGTTGGACTATTTTGGAACAACCGTAAAATTTTAAGTCGCATTATATTGCAGTCAGATATGCCGGAGTAAGATTTCCCTGTGCGGAATGTGATTATTTCTCTAGTTCGTCGAAAGATCTAAGGAGACACATACGAAGTAATCATGGCGAAGAGAAATATTATTATGATTAATGTAATTACGTGACCTCTAGATATAGAATCATGGATCTGAAAAATCTGGAAGAAAATGTTCATGAAGGGATACATCCCTGTGATCAATGTCATTTTGCAGCAATAAAAAGGGTGTTTTGAAAATTCATTAAAAGAGTAAATACGAAGGAATCAGACATCCCTGCACTAAGTGTAACCATGCTGCTACAACCGCGGGAAATCTAAAGAAGCATGTAGTTATAATGAATGAATAAGCCAGATCATATTGTAAAAATCCTTGTGATTATTGTAAACATGCTGCAACTACAGCAGGGAATCTAAAGCAGCATGTTTCAGCAAACAAAGAGATAAGTAATACATCTCTTTAGTGGAATGAAACAGAGACCATCGGTTCATATCTATGGCTTTTTTATAGTTTCATAGTCAGCGAGCTTGTATGCACGTTTGTTTGTCATAAGATTATTTTTTGTCGCAGTTTGAGTCGAAATTGTCATTGTCTTCCGTAACATTTTTATAAAATTATTTTTACAAAAATACTAATTTTCTTCACAGTTAGAATAATACTGCTTCAATGTACTCAAATTGGTAAATTAAAGATTTCATTTTATTTAAGCTTTTGGAAAATGATTTGTAGTACAACAGTGCAATATTTTCATATTTTCACAGATGTCCCGAAAGTTGTTTACCCATTTTTACCCATTTTAGTACAGAAGAAACAACCCTAAACTAATAATTGACGGAATAAGGAGAACTTATTCCTTCATAAGTTCTCAGTTTAGGTTATGCAAAATTCATGATGATTACCTCCTCAATTCTAAAATACTTTTTTCTAGAGGGTTTTGTCAAAATATCTAAAAATATAAAAATGTTTGACTTGATTAATCTCATCAAATTTACATACGTTAAATTATGTAAATAAAAAATGTTATTAAAAATCTTCGTTTTTCAAATATTCATAGCAATATGTACTAATGTAGTTCTCTACCTCAACCTAGCAATCTACCTCACGTATTATTTAATTTATGTATTTTATAGTTTAAATTCTTATTCATTCGTTAGAATTGTTTTAATAAATTTCTATGTTTAACTTTTAAATCCTTTAGATCTTGAATAAATAAACTATTTGTTTCCCGATAAAATGAAGATAAAATGAGAGATTAAATCTTACTCTGAACCAGGTACATATTACAGTTGGCAACACAAATATGTTAAAATATATGGGTCTTCTGGTAAAATAAGAATAAGATATAATTTACTTATAACTTTTAAGCAGTGCTTGTTAAATTAAAAGAAGAATATTTGTTGTGTTCTAAAGTAGAAAACACGTGTATTGTTCATTTAAATGAAGATATCATGTGTTCTAAAGAAGAAAACACGTGCTTTGTTAAATTAAAAGAAGAATATATTTTGTGTTCTAAAGTGGAAAACATGTATTGTTTATTGTTACATTAAAAAGTGTTCTAAAGAAAATTAAAGAAGAAGAAACAATGTGCTCTAAAGTAGGAAACACGTACGTGTCCTGTTCTAAAGTCGAAAGTACGTGTATTGAATGTGAAATCAAATGTAAAATATTTTATAGGAAACCACTGTATTGTTAAATAGAAAGAAAATATTATTTGAGAATTTATGATGTTGAAAACACGTGTATTGTTATATCAATAAGGAGAATATATGAAGTGTTCTAAAGTTGAAAACACGTGTATTGTTATATCAAAAAGGAGAATATATGATGTGTTCTAAAGTTGAAAACACGTGTATTGTTATATCAAAAAGGAGAATTTATGATGTGTAAAGTTGAAAACACGTGTATTGTTATATCAAAAAGGAGAATATATGATGTGTTCTAAAGTTGAAAACATGTGTATTGTTATATCAAAAAGGAGATTATATGATGTGTTCTAAAATAGGAAACACGTGTATTGTCAAATTAAAAGTAGATCAATATAATAAAGACGACTTTCTATTTCAATTTAAATAAGTAATACTATAGATATATATATTAATAATACAGGGGAAGAAAGTTCCAAACCGTGATTTGCCTCGGTCTTGAAACTGAGTGTCAGGTTTTGAGACATTTTACAGATTTGAATCTATGATAATTTTCAAGCATTTACAGAATGTGGTAACTAAGAAAAGTTTTTTTGCATACGGTAAAATTTAAATGAAACAATAAAAATGTAAAAAAAAACACATTCTGTTCTGATATCTAAAAATATAACAACTACTAAAATTGAAAAATTATAATGTTAATATTATGTTGTTCTTACAATTAAAAAACAGAAAAATGCGGAAAATTTTTTATTGAAAATGGAGTAAACTTCAAATCTGTTTTACTCTCCTCGCCGTATTTAAAATTATAATGTGGAAACAAATTTTAGAATAATTTAGAAAATATTTTCAGTGATTTAGGCTATTCTGTTAATTACGAAAGTGCGTTTTGTTCTGAATATTTTTAAATTATGGATTGTTTGAAAGTTGGTTTATGTTCCAAAACGCGTCCAAGATTCGAATTTGTGATATATGCGAAAATGTCCAACCCTTGCAGATAAAAATATTTTTTGAAAATCTGGCGACATTAGGGCCAAAACATAATATTGAATATTCTCAAAGAATTTCTAAACTTGCGAACAAATTAATATGCTCCATAAATGATGTTCTACAAATAAGGACAAGAATTTTGAGGTGGATCTGAAGAGAAAATAAGGGGAAATTTGGCTGGCCCCCCTCCACTCGGGCAGCAAACATTAATGCTTCTTTAATTAAAAATTAAACATTTGGATTATCAATAAAAATATTGTTTGAATTCATAGGGTTGTGATGAATAAATTGTAGAAAATTATTTAAATAATGTAATTTCCACATTATTATCTACTTGGATAAATCCGGGTTACAGTGATTTGGTATAAGAACAATAAATTTGCCTTTATTTGTAAATATATTAGAAATGAATGATTTTTTTATATAGATGGAAATGGAAAGATTACAGACCATTTGAAGATTCCAACATGATAAAATCCCTGCAATACTTCAGCCTGATCATGTTTTATGCTCTAACATCGCCAGTTTTAAAAAAAATATTTTACTTGCAAGGGTTGAACATTTAAAAAAGATAGTATTGGAAGGACGATGATTTTGAGGTGGCTCGGACGAGAAATTGTGGTTGACCTTGGAGTTAAACTAACCTCAGGACAAGTTGGAGATAAACTAACCACAGGACAGGTTGGAGTTAAACTAACCTCAGGACATGAGCTAAACTAACCTCAAGACAGGATGGAGCTAAACTAACCTCCGGACAGGTTGAAGCTAAACTAACCTCAGGACAGGATGGAGCTAAACTAATCTCAGGATATGTTGGAGCTAAACTAACCTCAGGACAGGTTGGAGTTAAACTAACCTCAGGACAAGTTGGAGCTAAACGTAACTCAGGACAGGTTGGAGTTAAACTTACCGAAGAACAGATTGGAGCTAAACTAACCTCAGGACAGGTTAAAGATAAACAAACAATAGGACAGGATGGAGCTAAACTATCCTCAGGATATGTTTGAGCTAAACTAACCTCAGGTCAGGTTGGAGCTAAACAAACCTCAGGACAGGATGAAGCTAAGCTAACCTCAGGACAGGTTGGAGCTAAATTTACCTAAGGAGAGGTTGGAGATAAACTAACTACAGGACAGGTTGGAGCTAAACTAACCTCAGGAGAGGTTGGAGATAAACTAACCTCAGGACATGATGGAGCTAAACTAACCTTAGGACAGGTTGGAGCTAAACTAACCTCAGGAGCGGTTAGAGATAAACTAGCAACAGAACAGGTTGGAGCTAAACTAACCTCAGGAGAGGTTGGAGATATTCTAGCAACAGGACAGGTTGGAGCTAAACTAACCTCAGGAGAGGTTGGAGATAAACTAACCTCAGGACAGGTTGGAGCTAAACTAACCTCATGACAGGTTGGAGCTAAACTAAGCTCAGGACAGGTTGGAGCTAAACTAATCTAAGGAGAGGTTGGAGCTAAACTAACCTCAGGAGAGGTTGGAGATAAACTAACCTCAGGACAGGTTGGAGCTAAACTAACCTAAGGACAGGTTGGAGCTAAACTAACCTCAGGAGAGGTCGGAGATAAACTAACCTCAGCAGAGGTTGGAGCTAAACTAGCAACAGGACAGGTTGGAGCTAAACTAACCTCAGGAGAGGTTGGAGATAAACTAGCAACAGGACCCATGTGATATAAACATATTTTATAATTATTTAAGGCAATTTTCAACAGAATCTTATCTGAAATTGAATGAGAAGTGTTTTTTTTATGGGGCATTCTTCGAGTATTTAATATCTGACCAACTACCTAGTTATCTTAAAACCTCTCGCGTATACAAATTTTTATCAAATCCGTAAATTTACTTGTTTGATCATCACCATCAAAACGTTTACACGTATGAACATATTTTAGGTCGGGAAAGCTCATTATAGGTATACTTTTTATAAAACAGCATTGAAAATATCTGAACTAGTTGTTTTGACGATTTTAGAATTTACAAAAATGTCCAATTTCTTTCTTTAATATGGAAATGGAAATGTTAATATTACTATTTTCTCTAAATGAAAACCAGATTTGACAATATTTGAATTGATTTTCCATATTTTATCATGTATGTTCACAAAATGTTGATTTTAATATGTTTACTGTTCAAACTTATTATTAATCTCTTTAAAAGTTTCAGTTAGTCCTATCTCACTGTGAACTATAACAGAGAGAGAGGATCAGATTTATACGAAATTGCAGGTACGACTTTGTGACCTCGTGGCTCCATTTGCTTTTATTTCATGTACAAGTATTAGAAAAGCAAATTTATTTGGTTACATTTTACATATTATTAGAAATCCCAAATATTTTCTGTGTTTAGCTCTTCAATGAGAGAGGAGTTACGTTTGAAAACATGTAAGATTTAAATTTTAAATTTGATTTTCACGTACAATTTATTTTAGTTTGACGTGATCTGAAAGGTCAACTATGTACATTGTACATCGTACAGTAGTAAGGGTTAAATTCTATCATTTTAATTCATATAACGACGGTGTCACGTGACATGTATATTCCATTTATTGGATTAGGTTAGATGAGAGGAGAGAGGGCTGAAAGTTAATTATATTTTCTCTAGAGTTGATTAAACTTTGCTAGCCGGAGGGGAGATACCAGTTGGTAGGTGTTATTCTTAAACACTTTATCGTTATCATTCATTCATCCTTCCATACATTCACCCATTCATTCATCCTCTTGCTAGAGAGGAAATACCAGTTGTGAGATGTTATTCTTGACTTATTCATTATCATTTATTCATTCATCAAGTCATCCTTTCATTCTTTCATTCATTCTTTTTTTATCCTTTCGTCCTTTCATCTTTTCGCTCTTTTATCCTTTCATTCTTTCATTCCTTGATCCTTTCAACCTTTCATTACTTGAGTCTTTCATCCTTTCTTTCCTTGATCCTTTCATCCTTTCATTCTTTGATCCTTTCATCCTCTCATTTCTTGATCCTTTATCCTTTCATTCCTTGATCTTTTTATCCTTTCATTCTTTGATTTATTCGTCCTTTCTTTCCTTAATCCTTTGATCCTTTCATCTTTTAATTCCTTAATCCTTTCATTCCTTGATCCTTTCATCTTTTCATTCCTTTATCCTTTCATCCGTTCATTCTTTGATCCTTTAATCCTTTCATTGTTTGATCCTTTCATCCTTTCATTACTTGATCCTTTCATCCTTTCATCTTTTCAACTTTTAATTCCTTGATCCTCTCATTCTTTGATTCTTTGATCCTTTGATTCATTCATTCCTTTATCCTTTCATTCCTTGATCCTTTCATCCTTGCATTCATTGAAACTTACATCCTTTCTTTCCTTGATCTTTACATCCTTTCATTCCTTGATACTTTCATCCGTTCATTCCTCGGTCCTTTCATACTTTCATCTTTTTATCTTTTCATTACTTGATCCTTTCATCCTTTCATTCTTTGATTCTTTGATTCTTTCATTTCTTTATCCTTTCATTGCTTGATCATTTCATCCTTGCATTCTTTGATCCTTACATCCTTTCTTCCCTTGATCCTTACACCCTTTCTTTCCTTGATTCTTTCATTCTTTGATCATTTGATCCTTTCATTTCTTTCATATTAATCCATTTTCTGTAAATAAGTTGGACAAGAGCTCACAAACTTTAAATGAAAATAAATATAAAAACGGTAGCAAATAATATCGATTAATCTAAATGTTAATGGTTTTTATAAACGATTTCAACCCTTGCATCTCACCCCACTATACCAACCCTCTGGGTCCTGATATATGAATGAGTATTGAATATAAGCCCCTTGAGTGAGGAACCATGGATGTATAAAATATCTCTATTGTCAGTCTTGTTATTTCAGGGGACACAAGCTCCCCTCCTCTCATTTAATTCCCCCCCCCCTGCTCCTCTGCTTTATACCACCCCCCCCTTCCTCTCCGATAGTATCCCCCTAGTGGAGTGTTGGTTTACCAGAACCAATGGTCGGCCAGGGAGGAGGGAGAAGGTTTGAGTACCATTGAACATTCTGAGCATCATCCTCTCACAGAATGTAATCCGCGAACTTCATTGGACAAAATCTCCGAACTTTCCGATCTCTGATTGGTCGAACCGTGTAATGAAAGTTGAATCTGGGCGGCAGGCCGGTACGACCGGAGTACAGGCCGGAAGGTTGACCAGGCTGGGGGGGGCGGCGCTCTCCCTCCGCCCTGTATGCGCGCCCCTTAGCTCTGGGTGAAGGGAAGAGGGCCGAAGAGTAGGTTTAGTTTCTATCTAGTTTGCTTGTTGATTTAAGCAGGGTCTAATTCTAACAATGTTTTCTCTATCGGCTCTACTGTTTTCTCTCCCTTTGTGAAATGTGATGAAAAGAAACATTGAATCTGTAGACGGACTGTTTTCATGTAATCTCGTAAACTAACCTCCCCCCGCACCCCACTCCCTCGCTAGTAAAACATTGAAGTTATATTCCTGTGAAAATATTTGTATATTTACAGAGAAAACCAAGTGTGCAAGTTCCGTCTGCATTCTTTAATCTGTTTTCTCAAATCAGGACGATTTGACTCTTTGGGGGGTTTTCCAGAGTATTAGCTAAATATACAAACATGAGAAAACAAACAAAACAATCCAAGAGTACACAAATTAAAACCTGGATATAGGTTTACAAACAGATTCAGTGTGATCCTTCCTTGATATCCAACCCTTCCTTGATATCCAACCTTAACCCTAGATCAGGAAAATATCCATTAAACCCGTATGCATCTTGCACCCTGAGTTAAAACTGACTCCTGAAACCATGCACAGTCTTTCAAACTCACTATTTGGTAGTCAAGACTCCTACTGGAGAGGAGGGGTCGGGAGTGCCTACTCCTCCCTTCAACCTCTAGGGAGTATGACTCCTAACCTATCTAACTCCTACTCCCCTTATGATCAGTATTCGTCACATCCTGCCGTCACCTCAAGGTGAGTAACCACCAAATCTTTTTAAATTTTGTTTTCAAACTTATTTCGATCAATTTCGGTTTTTTTGAGTTTTTTGGAAAAGGAACTGGTTAACCCAGCGACTAACTTTAATTTTCTAATCCCTTAATCCTTACTACCTGACGGTGTAAATTTCAAAATTTGACTATTTCGTCTTTCACAATTCATAGTTATGGAAAATTAAAGATATAAGGATTATAAAAAATATAATTTGATTCCTTTGTTTTTTTTCCCAATACTATTATGCTTAATAATGTTCAAACCCATCCCATCCATACGAACACATTAAGAATAGATTTGATTTAGAAGAAAAAAAAACATGAAATTAAAAGAGGCTATATTTGATCTAACCAAAATTGAAAGAGGGTTATAAAGTGCATTATAAAAAAGCTTGAGTTAAATATATGTACCATTTTTATTACCATCCCATTCTTTATGTAGAGAGTATTTTATTTAAGCATAAAGGTCTAAAATTAAAATATAAGCAGCACAGCCAGAGAAGTATTTAAGTACACGCCATTAACGTTAATCTGTGTAATTAAAATTGCGGAGAAATATGAATTTTTAATCATCTATTTTATAGTTGGCGTTTATGCATCTTTCCTGGAACCTCTAATCTTAATGGTTTTGTTTTTTTCTAATAGTTCAGTGGCCCTTCTATAAACATCTTTAAAATATAAACGCTTATTTTTTGTTGGAAGACAAAAGCATAAAAAATAGAAAAGAGTAATGTAAGTGCACTGAAAAAAAATGGTTTCTTTACTAGTTTGAGAAAATTCCCGACATGTAAATATAAATTCTATAGCGCTAAAATTTTCATTTCAAAAATAAGTTTTCTTAATACTAACCACATAATATTGTCTTTAAGAATTCAAAAATAAGAGATATTAAGTAATTCTCGCGGATTTGAAGCTTAAAGTTTTTCTATTTCCAAATTGTATTTCGGAAATTTAAAAAACAGAGTTCAACGCTAATCAGTGTTTTTTTTCAGTGGGAAGACAACGTATAAGTTTAGATTTTAATTCTTGTTTTTTTTTCTTTCTTTTGAACAGACTTATCCATAAAGATAGGACTTCGGTACGTCTGTACAGAATTTATTCATTCCATTCACTTTCATTTTTGGTTTACATTAGCTGTTAACTTTATTTCGTAAATTGTTTTGTATAACTGTTGAAAGATTTAACATTATACATACATTGTACAAAAGACTAAATTCAGTTTTTAGAGAGTATTATTGAAAGCATTTTAAGAACTTCATGGCGTCCTCATATTGAACTAGCTTTTCATGAAACTAAGTTTTCCCTAAAAGAAGTTAACCTCGAACTTTTAAATCAAGCTCAGAACATTCCCGTGTTTCTACCGAGTTCCCCAATCAAAATTTGAGACAAATCGGTCTAGTGGTTCATTACGTGGTTGCAGTTTACCTAAAAAATTCTGAACGTTACATTAGAAGCTTGATTCCTAATATAAGTTTTTTGGGGGGGCTTTATTTGGCTAAATCTACAATTGTAAAAGTTGAAAGAATATAAATGGGGACATGATGTGAAAAGCTTGAAAGAATATAAATGCGTACATGATGTGAAAAAAATATGTTAAATTATGCGTATTGTGTTTCATGTTTACAGAGTGATTAATTTTGAGGATTTTATTGCAATTCTGATCTGACAAGACGTGTGAACTTTTTGGGGTTCTGCGTCGGCTTCTTATATCATAAATTAAACAGTTTAAATTCAACTTTAGATAAGCATGGGCGCAACTAGGGGGGGGGGCTATATCTAGGTTCTGATTTTTCACAAAGAATTTTTAAATTTTTGATTCAGTTTGCCCCCCTCCCAACTCTTTCTCTATTTTGCTTGCCGCGATAGTTCTGAGAAGAAAAGTAGAAAAATCTATAAATTATATCATGCCGTCAAACCTTGATATTTTCCTTTGCGCCTATTATTATTTTGTTTTCAATGAAAAATGTCTTTTGGGGAATTTTGGTAATTTTTAGACCAAGACTTTAAGTGAATAAATAAAAATTTGGATACGATAAAAATGTGGAATGTGTAAAGCAACATATTTCAGACAAAAAAAAACACAACTGGAAAGAGAATGAACTAAATGCGGAGACAAGTTAAAGTTAAAAGTGATGGTCTCTAGATGTGTGTTGTATTACATTTAGGTGTTTGTTTACATCAGTATCATCATGCAGTCCTTAAGTTGATTCTAGTTTACAATTAACTTACTAGCTTTTTACATTTCAACAATTTATTAGAATTTTTTAAATCCATATTACTCTTAAAACATTAAAACAAAATATATTGAGAAGAAAATTAAATAATTCTAGTTGAGGGAAAGAGCAGGGTTGGGATTTGTTTTTGCAAATGATCTGAAGTAGTGTAAAGACCGATTTATCACCACGTTCCATTTCACTTCATTTTAGGGACCTCTGTACTGTGTCTGGGGTCAAGGTTGTTTAATATAATAAATTACGTGTGTAAAAACAGGGTTCCCATGAGCTGAACCTAGATTGTAAATGTACCGGTCGCTAGCTTTGCTCCCTGATACTTTGTTTATATATTAGAGAAGTCTGATATACAAACATACCCTGTCACACATAGATATAGGTAGATAGGATAGGATAGGATAGGATAGGATAGGATAGGATAGGATAGGATAGGATAGGATAGGATAGGATAGGATAGGATAGGATTGGATTGGATTGGACAGGATCGGATAGGATAGGATAGGATATGATAGGATAGGTTAGGATTGGATTGGACAGGATAGGATAGGATAGGATAGGATAGGATAGGATAGGATAGGATAGGATAGGATAGGATAGGATAGGATAGGATAGGATAGGATAGGATAGGATAGGATAGGATAGGATAGGATAGGATAGGATAGGATAGGATAGGATAGGATAGGATAGGATAGGATAGATAATATGAAACTTTAAAGGTTTAAAGGTAGAAAAGCATAACCACGTTAAAGTTGAAAATGTTTCTACATAAAATAATGCATTGTACATACTTTTTATTTTTATATAAACCATATTTGTGTTTAGGTATATGAGTTCTCCCTATGGACCCTACCACGGAGTACCCCAGCACAGTGCTCCCAAGGATATGGTAAAACCCCCCTATTCATACATCGCTCTCATCGCCATGGCGATACAGAACGCCCCGGACAAGAAGGCGACGCTCAACGGTATCTACAACTTCATCATGGAGCGGTTTCCCTACTACAGGGACAACAAGCAGGTATAGAACTGGAAACTTGGATTTATTTGAAGTATCGGACCGACCGTTGGGCAACTTTTTAAAGGACGTAAAAATCATCTCTATTTTTTAAGAAAAATATGGTAGGGACAGGGGGACTTTTGAGGAGGAGGTGGAGATCTCATAGATTTTTGTTTTATACATCTAAGCCCAGCTCCCTAAGCTAAGGGGACGATTAATCCTAGCAACAACAGTACTGTACAATTTTATCTATTCCCGAGGTACAAGAAGCAAGAGTTCAAATTCAATCAAATTCAATCAAATTCAATCAAATTCAATCAAATTTAATCAAATTCAAACAAATTCAATAAAATTCAATGAATAAACCGTATTCATAGTAAAAGTACTGTTTACTAAGTGCTAAGTCCATATTTTCTACACCTGATTCAATCCTTTCTGTTCTGTTGACATCTTTGTTATAACCTAGATGTATTATGGAATGCAGTTTTTAAATGCATATTTCCAGAGAACCGGTTTTCCTTTGATATCGTAAATAAACAAAGATCTGTTTTTGTTTATTTAAACTTCAGTCAAAAGAACCGGGTTTCTTAGGCTGATTAGGTTTCAAAGTTTAATCAAATGATTCCCAGCCGGATTTATTGGAAAGAAAGCTACAACTGTAACTTTAAGAAGAGGTTGAACTAGGTTAGTTTATAGTTGAGAAGGATTAGTTTTTAAACCATGGTCAATGTCCACTCACTTCTAAAAGTTACTGTAGGTCCATACTTAACTAAATATATCGTCTATAACCCATTATCTTTTTCATGGTTTGGTTTTTCATCCTTTCCACACACCTAGGTTTGGTTTTCATCCTTTCCATAAACCTAGGTTTGGTTTTCATCCTTTCCACAAACCTAGGTTTGGTTTTCATCCTTTCCACAAATTTGTAGGTTTGGTTTTCATCCTTTCCACAAATCTATAGGTTTGGTTTTCAATTTCATCCTTTCCACTAATCTATAGGTTTGCTTTTCATCCTTTCCACAAATCTATAGGTTTGTTTTTTCATCCTTTCCACACACATAGGTTTGGTTTTCATCCTTTCCACAAATCTAGGTTTGTTTTTTATCCTTTCCACAAATCTGTAGGTTTGGTTTTCATCCTTTCCACAAATCTATAGGTTTGGTTTTCATCCTTTCCGCAAACCTAGGTTTGGTTTTCATCCTTTCCACAAATCTATAGGTTTGGCTTTCATCCTTTCCACAAACCTAGGTTTGGTTATTATCCTTACCACAAATCTATAGGTTTGGTTTTCATCCTTTATTTACACAAACCTAGGTTTGGTTTTCATCCTTTCCACAAATCTATAGGTTTGGTTTTCAACCTTTCCACAAACCTAGGTTTGGTTTTCATCCTTTTCACAAATCTGTAGGTTTGGTTTTCAGCCTTTCCACAAATCTTAAGGTTTGGTTTTCAACCTCTCCACAAATCTAGGTTTGGTTTTCATCCTTTCCCACCTCTTCTAGAATCTTTTCTATTTCTTCTCTCCCCCCCTCCCCCCTCCACTCATCTCCGAATTCACTCTCCCATGCCTCTAATATACAGAATCTTCTTAGACATCCCTTTCATGCCTTCTTCTCTCACCCCCCTCCCCTCTTCTCCGTATTCCCTCTCCCATTCCTTTTCTAGAATCTTCTTAGACACCCCTTTCACCTTCTTCCCCAATCCCTCACCCAACTCTTCCAGAATATTTTTGACATCCCTTTTACATTCTTCTACCCCCCCCCCCTCGCCCATTCCTCTTTTTCATATTCCCCTTCACACCGGTCTGTTAAGACTAAATTTGTAAAAAAAAACTCCGCTTCACATTTAGGAAATATTTGACCGACAGGCTCATTCTACAGTACAGGGTCAGTAAATAAACATGACACTGCATTTTTGGTACTTAATTTATTTCTAGAGGGTAAAGCATTCAAGGGTAATCCCCCCACTCTACAACTCCCTTTAAACCGTAAAATTTCTCCCCCCCCCCCTTAAAATCTGTAGTTGCGCCTTTGTAAACTACGATAAATTAATATTGTATAAGTCTAGGTGAATCCCAGCTGACAGAAACTGTCCCTAAATCTGTCAAAATTTCAAACATGTCATACTTCATTAACTTAACACCGCGCGGTAATTTAAAATCATCAATTCACACCGCGGCTAGTTTCAAAACTTTATATGGAAAATTTAATGTTATACTGAAAGTAATTTCAAAACCTTTTTGCCATTTTGAAAATTATTTACTCGAAGGAATTAGTTTTAGTTCCTTCGTCAGATAAAACTCTCCTACTTACTGATCGGTAACGTTATCAACGATATCTTCAAAGTTTAAAGGGTACCGTGGTGAATCGGACATGTCACTCTATAGAAATTACGTCGACAATCCCTTTAAGGCCGTAGTTAAAAGTTGGTTTTAAATATAAAAAAGTCTTCCTAATACACTGTAAACTCCGGTTCTTTTCTAGTACTGGGCCGACTTTTAACCAGCTAGAGGAAGCTGTACAGTACAATAACAGACTAAGTTAGGCAAAACGCGACGGTACACCAAATGAATGATCCACATGTAGTGAAATTTATGTGTAAAGAAGTTTGAAATGTATTTTCACTTATAAATACTGTGGTTTAAAGTTAGAAAATATTGGCGTTTATAAAAATATATTTCAGGGTTCAAATATATCTAAAAATAGACACTTCAACGTGAGGGGTGGAAAGAGCTGTCTGAAAAATGGGAATTTAATCCCAATTTCAATTCCCTGGGGATGGGTTGCTGGGGAAAACTTCCCCCGTATTGGTGGCGATGGGGATATTGAGGTTTAGGGAGGGGGGAGGTGAGAAAATGATTGACAGAGGGGGGTAAGGGAGGGGCCGGAAGGAAGTAGGGATGACACGGGGGGGAGGCAGGGGGCATCTCGGAAGGAGGAGATTAAGTCAAGGAGAAAATTGGTGATAAATCATGTTATACATATTTGAGTATCAAGTGGCGAAATATTATATTTTAATGATGAAATCTGTAAAAGTAATTACACACATTACACAGTTAGAACTCAGGCTTTTTGTCTTGAGAGAATATCTCTTTTTTGCCAGTTTATGCATAGTTAAATTGTGTGATTTATTAGGGTTAGTTGTTGACTTAATATAAACAAACGGAGATGAATGAACGCCACGAAATCAATTTTCTAATTCCTATATCTTTGCAACCAGCTAGTGTAGACCTAGGATATTTTAAGCTTTGAATATTTAATCTAACATAAATTATAGTGTCAAATATCAGAGGTCTGCAGAATCTGGTTGCAAAGATGTAGGAATTAGACAATAGGCCCTGTAAGCGTAATTTCAAGTGAACCTCCGATTTACAACGGTACCCTTTGTAGCTTTGTCTGATCAAGTATGAAACATATATCAATGCTTATAATTTCGAAAACTAATTATTTTCAATTGTGGTACAAAAGTGATTTGCGAATTTCTACTGCAGGAAATTTATGGGAATTATCAGAATCAAACACTTTTAACCTAATAAAAGGACACTATCTTTTACATTATTCATCAGATAAATATGTTAAGGGTACTGTTACCTTCTTTGCATTGAGGGTCAGTTGAAATTACGCTTATTGTCCCTTTACCATCATATTTACAGGGTTGGTAGAACTCTATCCGACACAATCTATCCCTTTACCATCATATTTACAGGGTTGGTAGAACTCTATCCGACACAATCTATCCCTTTACCATCATATTTACAGGGTTGGCAGAACTCTATCCAACACAATCTATCCCTTTACCATCATATTTACAGGGTTGGCAGAACTCTATCCAACACAATCTATCCCTTTAACTCTATCCGACACAATCTATCCCTTTAACTCATCATATTTACAGGGTTGGTAGAACTCTATCCGACACAATCTATCCCTTTAACTCATCATATTTACAGGGTTGGTAGAACTCTATCCAACACAATCTATCCCTTTAACTCATTATATTTACAGGGTTGGTAGAACTCTATCCGACACAATCTATCCCTTTAACTCATCATATTTACAGGGTTGGCAGAACTCTATCCGACACAATCTATCTCTGAACGAATGCTTCGTGAAGGTAGCGAGGGATGATAAGAAGCCTGGGAAGGGATCCTACTGGTGCCTAGACCCTGATAGCTATAATATGTTTGATAACGGATCCTTTCTCAGGAGAAGGAAACGTTTTAAGAAGAAGGATGGAAAATATGTGGTGAGTTTTAGATTTTTCTGTACTTTATCATTCTAAATCATTCTAATCCATTCTTCCGTCCCACATTCGATATATCAGTAGATACTCAGTTCTTTTTCTCTCTTTCAAGACACTTTATTTGTTCTATTGATACAAAAATTAATCAACAATATATTTGCTTCAATAAATTAAAAACTCCACAACAGTGAAGGACAACTTTTTGCATCAATATGTTTAAACACCACAGATTATTATTTTTTCCGATTCAATATTCTTATTTTAGTCTTTCCCATTCTTAAATCCGTCGTATTCATACAGTCAGTTCCCTTTTATAGTTTCTCTCTATTTATTCCGATCCGTTCTACTTCTTCTCTTGTCTTCACATTTTATTTTATTTCTTGTTCCTCCTTCTCTTCCTTCTCCTCCATCTCCTCCTTTAACTAGGGCTAAAAATCTCCATGCTGCTTGTTTATCTTTACTTCTCTCACCTAGAGGATTTAAACGTCCCAATCTGAATTTTCTTCCTATTCCCTGTCATGTCGGCCCTTCAAGGGGAAATTCGAAGAAAACTTAATTGATGATTTAAAAGGTATTAATGCCCTTCTGCAGTCTACCCCTCCCATAAGTTACCGCCAGAATTCCTAAGTTTCTGCCCCCTCCCCCCCCNTCCTACTCATCAAACCTTTCTTCTTGAAGAAGGTAACTCTTAACCCATTTAATTACGGTTCTTCCATCTTCCTCCCCATTCACACTTCATCCCCCCACCCTTGGCAAAATTCTTCCGTTTCCCTCTTCCCCTCTTTCATCCTTCATATTTATTTCATATTTTTATTCAACTACAAAGCACGAGATAATACAAATAAAAAAATCACAATTTACTATGTAGTTTGGACCCGCCTAATCAGAGTAGGTTGTTTTAATTGGTTGGCCCACTACCTCTTATACCCTTCCCACCTCTCATCATTCTCTTCTTTGATCCTTATCCACAATTCATCCTTCTCCTCATTCATCCTTCTCTTCTTTCATTCTTCGCAACATTCATCCTTCTCCTCTTTCATCTTTTCCCTCTTTCATACTTCTCCTCATTCATTCTTCTGCTCTTACATTCTGATCCTCTTTCATCTTTCCCTTTTTATATTCCCTTTTTTTCATCCTTCCCTCGATTTCATCCTTCCATCCCCTCCCAGACATATAGTTTCCCCCTTCCAATTAGTTTCCAGATATACAGGTAGTAGAGTAGATTGTTTATACTTATTCTTAGACAAGCATTCTCATTTACACCTTCCTACTCATCCTTCCTACTCATCCTTCCAACTCATCCTTCCTACTCATCCTTCCTACTCATCGTTTCTACTCATCCTTCCTACTCATCCTTCCTACTCATCCTTCCTACTCATCCTTCCTACTTATCCTTCCTCTTCATACTCATCCTTCCTACTCATCCTTCCTACTCATCCTTCCTACTCATCCTTCCTACTCATCCTTACTACTCATACTTTCTACTCATCCTTCCCACTCATCCTTCCTACTCATCCTACCTACTCATCCTTCCTACTCATCCTTCCTACTCATCCTTCCTACTTATCCTTCCTATTTATCCTTCCTACTCATCCTTCCTACTCATCCTTCCTACTCATACTTTCTACTCATCCTTCCTACTCATATTTCCTACTTATCCTTCCTACTCATCCTTCCTACTCATCCTTCCTACTCATCCTTCCTACTCATCCTTCCTACTCATATTTCCTGATCATTTTTCTAACTCGTCATTCATCCTCTACCTTTCTACTCTTTCTTTGACCTTCATCCTTCCTACTCATCTTTCCTACTCATCCTTACTACCCATCCTTCTAGCTCATTTTTCAAACTCGTCCTTCATCCTCTCCCTTCATACTCATCCTTCCCCCTCAGCCTTTCCCCTCATCTTTCCTACCCATCTTTCCTTCCAACTCACTCTTCCTGTTCATTCTTCCTATTTATTCTTCTAACTCACCCTTCCCACTCATCCTTCCAACTCACCCTTCCTGTAACTTAAGCTTAAGAATGGAAATTAATAGAAGCCAGAACTGATGAGAAATAGCAGAAGGTCGACAAAAATGAAAGATGAGAAAAGACGATGATATGTGTAGCAGTAGGGTAGCTAGCACCTTATGTTTTATATTAAGAAGTTGTAAAATTGTTAAATAAAAAATCTAGGTCATCCTCACACTGTAATAATTAGATGCAGTAAACCTTAATGGAGGTGCTAAAACCCAGGAAAGGAACTGTTCAATTCATAACACTTGGATACAAAACTGTTCAATTCATAACACTTGGATACAAAACTGTTCAATTCATAACACTTGGATACAAAACTGTTCATAACACTTGGATACAAAAATGTTCAATTGATAAGACTTGGATACAAAACTGTTCAATTCATAACACTTGGATACAAAACTGTTCAATTCATAACACTTGGATACAAAACTGTTCAATTCATAACACTTGGATACAAAACTGTTCAATTCATAACACTTGGATACAAAAATGTTCAATTGATAAGACTTGGATACAAAACTGTTTAATTCACAACACTTGGATACAAAACTGTTCAATTCATAACACTTGGATACAAAACTGTTTAATTCATAACACTTGAATACAAAACGTGTTATTCATGATAGTTGATATAAAACTATTTTATCTATTATACTTGGTTTCAAAATAGTAATTAAAAATAACAGTAAATACCATTAAAACCTACAAATGCTAATTAAAATTTTATAAAATAATTACTCAAAATATCTTTCCCATCCTTTTAAAATCCCCCTACTCCCCTCCCCTCCTTCTTGTCTTAACCTCCCTTTACAGTCTGCTAGTTCATAGGATTCATCTTTATTATCTGCTAGTTCATAGGATTCATATTTACAAACTTCTAGTTCAAAGGATTCATATTTACCATCTGCTAGTTCATAGGATTCATATTCGCCATCTGCTAGTTCATAGGATTTATATTTACCATCTGCTAGTTCATAGGATTCATATTCACAGTCTGCTAGTTCATAAGATTCATGCATAATTACTGTCTGCTAGAATTCATAGGATTCATAAAAACAGTCTGTATCTATCTATTTATCTACCTATCTATCTATGTATATATCTATCTATCTATTTATCTACCTAATATCTATTTATTTATCCTCCTATGTATCTATTTATCTACCTATCTATTTTATCTTGTTTATAAAGAGAAAATTAAATATGTATTGATTCTTTTCCAAAATATTTTATTTTATGTGATCAAATTGCATAGCCTATTTTTATTCCTCCTCTGATTTCTTTAGCAGTTAAATATTGAGCTAAGATACCTAGAGGAGACGAATGGTAATCCCCTGTTCCCCTAGCTTTTATTCTTCTTTTTACATGCTTCCTTCTAAGAGGCGGGAAGGGGGGGGTACAATATATAAATATTTCAAATTCCTACTCTAAATTTTTACTTTTTTTAAAATTATCGATCATATACCTATAGTTTCTGATATTTTGTAGATTATTGCTTTTTCCTGTCTTTCCTTCCAGTTCTTTTCCTCCTTTGTTCAAGCGAGTTTTTTCTCTTGATTCACAATCTATTCGTCTATCTATCAATTTGTCTTTCTGTCTATCTATTTATCTGCCTATATGTCTAGAATCTACATCTATCAATCAATCAGTCTATATATCTATCTTTCTATTTTCTATTTCATCTATCTATAGTTCTGCCTCTCTGTTCGTCAATCTATCTGATTGTCTGTCTATCTATTTTCATGTTTGTCTATCTATTTCTGTCTGTCTGTCTGGCTGGCTATTTGTCTGCTACCCCTGATCTGTCAACTAGAAAATTTGTGAAGCTTTAAAATCTCAATTTTCACATTTTCACCTTTTAATTGGTTTGGTGTTGCAGGAGAAGGAGGAAATATTGAAGAGCAGGGGACAGCTGCACAACACAGGGGGTCTGACAGATTCACCAGGGGGTCAGGCCCAGGGGGTCAATACAGGGAGACATAGATCCCCCCCTCCAGGGAAGAGAGACTCTAAGAAATGTGAGACCCCTCTGAAACACGAGTTGGTGAACTCCTATCCGCCCCTCTCCGCCTCCAAGCTAAAGATTGAACCTGGAGATAGTCCTGAGGATTGTGGTTTAGCTGATGAGCTTGCATCAAGGAGACTTATTGATCAAAACCATTCTCCGGGCAAAGAATCTCTTTTGCCCTCTAGTCACGCTTACCTGGGCAAAGATGAGCTAAGTGGTCATTTACTCAGTCACGTTCACATGTCCGGAATGTCCCTAGAACCGTCGCTGCAACAAATGGCGGATGTCGCCGCCGGTTGCAACAATTTTTCAGTCGACAGTCTGATGACGACAACACGGGACGGGAGTCCGGATCCACGCGTTTCCGGCTTACAGGATATGACTGGATACTCCCACTACTCCCCCTGTCTGTACCCAACCAACTCCAGTATAGAGGAGTTATCAAATATGACCGCAGGGTGTCTCCCCCAGTCCTTGATGTCCTCCGCATATTCTCGGTCAAACTGGTACTCCATGCCGGGGGGACATTCCCCAACCCAACCCGACCATTCTTATCAGCCTAGGGAATATTTTGAAGGGGTGGGGAAACCCCCCAGTCCAGGAGCATGCACCCAAGCCCCCTACAGAACCCCACCCTATAGATCCTACTACCCTCATCAAGATTGTGAGAAATATTAAACTGTACAGTGTACAATGTACAATGTACAAATCTATACAGTACTGTACATAGCTGGACATTAAAAGCTATCTCTACAGCAATATGCCAAATTAATCAAGCTGCAATTTTAGCCTAATATATATATAAATATATTAGGCCTATAATATATATAAATATATTAGTGAATTAGAAATATATTTGCAGTTCAACCATGATGTATCCATGTAAGGAAATCCTTCGTCGTGTTAACAGAGCCAAAAGCTGAGGTTATATTGTTCATGTGATAAAATTTAAATCAATTATTTA